CTGCAAAAACACTACAAATAGACATATCAAAACATCTTTCTATAAAAGCTACCTATTAAAACATATTTCTTTACACAAAATAGAGATTAAACAAAAAACACACATTTAAAACTCATTCTTAAAGACTAATGGCCCATCAGTGATCTATTCTCAGGAAATTAAGAAAGCAAATCGCCATTGCATTCTAAGCAGCTGATTCATTTTAAAGTTTAAAATTATTATCCTAGCCTATATTATTGAAACAAAAGTATACCATGTCTTCCTACTCAATTCTTTAAAAGCACCTTACTTCAAAAGAAGGACTTTACATTGAACCTTTGGTATCTGCTGGGATTTGGTTCCAGAACCCCCCATGGAGACAAAAATCTATGGTTGCCCATGCTCCATTATATATGGTTGCAAGTAAGATGGTATCCCATATATAACATGAAAAAATCAACCTTAGGTTTTTTGATTTAAAAAAAAATCCATTTCAAGCTGTGGATGGTTATATCCATGAATAGAGAATTCATGGATGTCGAGGGACAACTGTACATTCGAACATCCCCCTTCTGATCACTGATCACTGATCACATCCCCCTTCTGATCACCATTTTTTACTTTCTGTTTTAGTCTGGGTGTATGTGTCTTTAAGTTGCTTGTCAACTTACAGTAACCTCACAACCTCAGATCCTCACAACCTCTGAGGATGCCTGCCATAGATGCAGGCAAAACGTCAGGAGAGAATGCTTCTGGAACATGGCCATACAGCCTGAAAAACTTAAAGCAACCCAGTGATTCCAGCCATGAAAGCCTTCAACAATATTTTGGGTAACTGTTTCCAGTTTCTTCTAAGGATATCCTGCTACCTTCTGCTGCAATTCTGAGAGACCCAAGTCCATCATCTGCCTGCAGGAGAGAGTTCTAATATCCTGACACATCTTCGTAGTACCTAAGAAACTAGCCTCAGACAGTTCTGTAAAATGAAAGTGGGAGATAAAGTTTCTTACTGCATGCAGACTTGCCCGTTTTGCCCTCTCTGCAATAAAAGTATAGTTGATATATTTACTTTCCACTGTCATGTGCTTGATTCTAGAAATTTGGCACAAATGAAATTATTCAACATTTATGGGCAGAACTAATGTGGGGAGGCTACTTTAGAAAAATGAAATTTTTCAGGAGTGGGGCTCACAGTAGTAAAAACAGTAACACTGCTTATTTCATTCCTAAATTTATTTCTCTCTTCAGCTGTTCTGCAATCCTTCAAGGGCATTTTGGAAGAGAATGACAGCTGCCACAAAAAGTGGCAAATATTTAGGGGAAAAATCTTCAAAGGGACTTTTATGTACAGATGAGAGAAAAATATTGGCTCAGGACAAGTCCACAGTTAGGCACAATGAGGCTCCTGCTATAAGAAGCAGATTTGCAGTGTAATGGAAGTCCTTCTGATTGCTTGTGATTTTATCAAGCATCATTGCTGCTTCACTACCAGAGAAAAGGAGAGGTGCTTCTGAGATGTTCTGCCTCTTATATGTTCTTGGAAGCAAAATAGGATCTGTCCTGGTCCTTGGATGGGGAAACCACCAATGGATACCAGGTACAATAGGCTATATTTCGGAGGAAGAAGCTGGCAAAACCACCCCTGAAGATTCCATGCCTGAGCAATTCCTATGAAATTCATGCTCTCACCATAAGTCAATGGGTGACTTGAAGGAACATGTACAACAGATACCAAAATAACTTGACTGACTTTGGCTCTTGAATGAATGAGGATGCTGTTTGATCAGTGCAACGTATTGAGACAGTTTTTTTCAATCCTTGTTAAAGCCCATATTTCCCCATGAGCCTGATCAAGTCTTATGATTTTAGAAGGACTTTCTCTCTGTCTCACCACCCTCTGGCTTATTTCATGAGGACATGAGAAATGACCTTCTTCATGGCTTTTCCTAGGCTTTTTGAAACTCCTTCCCAGAGGGAGCTCAATTGGCCCCTTCGCTGCTCTTTTCTACAATTTACACAGACCTTCATGTTTAAAAAGACATTCAGCCTTTAATGAGTAGCGACATATGCAATATATGTTCAAATAAATATTTGAAATCTTTCATTATAGTGGCACATGATGATCATATTGTTATGAAGTTTCCTAGTCTTTCTGTGGTTCCTAGTGTGTTTCTTTTACTAACTGCAGAACTTCCTGCACTRGCTTCATATTGTGTACCACTACCCCATCGCACTGCTCYAAGTGAGGTATAATATTGCTTTTCTTCTTTTTTTTTTTCATAGGGTGACGACAAAACCTTTCGGAGAACTCCCTCCTGGCGAAAGCGTTTCCGCCCCCGAGAGTTTCATAGCATGAACATGCTCAGTGGGTCATCAGAAACGCTGCCAGCAGGATTCCGAGTCACCTCRTTGGTGCCCTTACCACCTCCTTCAGTGCCCCCGAAGAAAATGCCACCAGAAGGTGTGGTTCTAACTCTTCCCTGCTCTCATTCACAAGTGATGAATTTCTGTCAGTATGTTGCATGGCGTGTTGTCTGCTGCTYTGAAGCCCATTGTTCTGCTTGCTTGAGAAAGATCATAAAACTGTTAAACAGATTCTTGCCTTAAATATATGCATACACAAATATAGGACTTTTTAAGGGAACACACATCTTATGCCAAGTTTGATTATTTGTACTTCCTAAGATGTCCATGTCTSAATTCTGCKCATTTGGAAATACATAGTTCCTTTAACCTTGGGTTTCTAATAAAAGCTTCAGCCTGGAATTGCTATTATAAAAYGTAAAAAAAAAACAACCCCGAATGATCTTGTATCTGATTAATTTCTGACAAATCTTGAAGGAAATGCCTTACTGTTAGAAATAGGTAATCTTAGAAGTATATAATAGATAGTAGAGTACTTAAACAAATTTAACACTTTTCACCCCATTAGGATGTCACCTCTCATCCTAGACTATGATACTGGAGAGCAGGGTTTGAACCTCTGCTCAGCCATGGAAATTTACTGGGTGACATTGAGCAAGTCAACCTCAGAGGAAAGCAAAGGCAACCAACCCCCTCTGAAGAAATCCTACCAAGAAAATTTCATCACCATAAGTGGGAAACTAGTTGAAGGCACAAAATAAGAAACATTTAACCATCTGAAATTTTCTTCTTTTAGCCCATATCACACTTTTAGCCCGTATAACTCTGATGCCAGGATTCTGTGCTTATGCCTATTTGCAAGATAGGGTAGTTATTTTTTTATAACTAAAATGCTATATTTGCATAAAGCATCTAAATTCTAGTATCCATAATAAATCAAGCTAGACAGTTAATCAAGGCAACCAAGATTTAATTGAATGCTTTGTGTGAGAGCTGTGACTTCACTAATTGCATGCTTTTGTGTGTTGTTGCTGAATGGTTTGCAGTTGGTGGATCTGGGTCCCAAAGACTGGAAACATCCACAGTTCGCACATATTCCTGCTGAGGTTCAATTTCCAATGGCATTGTCCCAGGCCTCAGGTAAGTTTAGAAATGGGGACAGAGGAAATGCAATCCCAACAGTCTGTAGACTATCCAGAAACTAATAGAGGAATTTAGCATTTTTTGCAATATAGAATCTTACTGCTCTATCCTCATAGTTCTAAATAGCAATCTTGTGATCTGTCCCAATCCATTTGTAGTGATTGCATTGCTGCCACAGTCTTTTATGATAGAACTATTGGGAGCAGTATGAAAACAAAGGATGTTGCATAGGAATTATGTTCTGTCCAAGAAATTGTAGGACACATGAATCACTCAATTTCTTTTAGTTCTTATGAGACCAGAGGGCTCATTGCAGTTTCTCTGAGGCTAGTGTGAACCAGATTTATTCAGTCATCAAACTTAGCAGACCTTCAATAGTATTGTGGTTAGAACCAGGCCTGTAGCCAAAGTGGGGAGGGGTAGCGTTCAGCCTCCTCTCCCTGGAAATGTTTCATGTTTTTTTTTTAAAAAAAAACATGGTTTACTCATCCCCATGTTAAGTCTATGATAAGCAAAAATTAAGAGTTCCTCCAGAGCTGCAAGTACTATCTCAAGCAAATGTTGACAATTTATTCACACTGTTATTACCTACCTTTCCACCAATTTACATTGCAATCACAATAGCTAATACAGTGGAAACAACCAAGTTGGTCCACCTGCAATTGGCAGGCAAAGCCTAAGGCACAGTGGGGAATTTGAAGCCCCCCAGGAAGAAAACCTGCTTAGACATGCGTTTAAGTCCCCACAGCTCCTCCCAAAACCCACACTTTTCCAGAGGGACAGCTAGATTCCCTCCCGCTGGCTTCTGTGAGGGCACCCAGCAACAATGTCTGGACCTAACTTAACCAATAGTACTTATATTAGACCTCTCACCTGCCTCTTCTATGCCATAAAATCAATATATTTTTTCCCTAAGCATCTAAGTAATCTAGCAAAAATACCTTAGTGGGAAGTAGAGTAGTATATTTGTGGTATGTGCCTAAAGACTGCCTGGCTACTTCTTGTTGGAGTACAGTATATTCCAAACAGAGGTTGATGAAGCAGGTGAGTAGGGGACACAGTTGCGGATCAAGCTACGAGCAAGCCAGAGATTTTCTTTCACATTATGGGTAGGTGTCTATCTGAATAAAAGTAAGTGTACATACATAGTTACGCTTGGCAGTGGGGTGAGTGAGAGAGATGGACAGACAGGAGTGTTATATCTATGAGTCTGCCTCTAGTAGTATGAATGCACTCAGCTATAATGCAAACCTACTACAATGAGTTCATTGGGATTTTCTCCCAGATAAATATGTATGGGATTATACTCCAAATGAGACACCCCTAAAAGGCTTCTGAAAATGCATTAGTTTTTTTTTGGCAATTGCGGTTTTCCCAACTATATATCATTTCATTTCATTCCATTTATTTCTTTTACCTGAAGGTGTTCTTTATTTTTCCCATCTCACATTTATCCTAGCAAAAATCTGTGAAGTAACCTCAAATTTAAGTTACTTTGAATTTTAATCATGCTTGTCAAGCTTTTTTGATGTGATTAAAATAGATGCAAGACTGCTGATGCATGTTAAAGAAGAAGCCAAATACGGATTTTCATAGAGACAGCAGTTTGTGCATCATGTAACTTATTTTTAGAGAATGTGCACAATGTGTTGGTTTTACAGAGAAATGCTATGTTTACTGAAATAAATATTTTTATTTGGAATTTAGCTTGTACATTACCTTATTAATAGCCATTTCCTAATTGTCAATTCCATGCATCATGAATGTTGACTGTCCATTATTGCTGTTTTGAAAACTTGGCAGCTCTACATCTAAATGAGGCAGTGGTGTATTTCCTTCCAGTTATTTTATTTGAATAAATTTCTGCCTGCATGTTTCCTCTGTGTGTTGTTTGCTATAAAGGGGGAAATGGCAAGCTTGGATTCACAAGTTGCCTTTGGAACATATGTCATTGTTTCCCTTCTGTACAAGGTTGGATATTTTTATATTCTTAAGTCTTTTGCCATGCACACAAATATGCAATATGGATGTGTGACTTAGTCCACTTTTGGAGCTATTTTGCCATGGATTGCACAGACCGTTATTTGTATGTTTGTATCACAGAATGTTATGTTCTGATTGCTTGGTTTCTCTTACGATCTTTGGGATTGTGTGCAAATTGTGACTTATGGACTAATCCTATTCTGATGACTGAACTCATTGAATCAATTGAATTTACTTAATGCGTTAACTCACTGTTCTGCAGTTGGCCCAATGGAGTTCCAAAATGGCCATCTGTTTTGGGAATTCTTTCCATTTTTTTCTTTGAGCTTCCATCAACCTTCTAGATCAGTGGTTCTTAACCTGTGAGTCCCCAGATATTTTGGCCTTCAACTTTCAGAAATCCTAACATCTGGTAAACTGGCTTGGATTTCTGGGAGTTGTAGGCCAAAATACCTGGGGACCCACAGGTTGAGAACAACTGTTCTAGATGTTACAAAACTTTTTATCGAACCATGGGGATGGGATGAAGAGTAGATGCAAGAGAGAGGATTGGCTGAAGGACGCAGTGGAGATAGTTTTCATTGTGACTTATACTGTCAGGTGTACAATGCTCTATCTTCTATTGCAGAAACAAAAACAGGGATAGTACTGTAATTCTTTATGTTAAAGCTATCTTGTGAATCACACAACAATTTGAATATGTTGTTATGGTTGTTACAACTACAGAATATTTTCTCAGGACAGTAAGGTATTGGGTAGTGTTAACTCAGGCCCCTTCCACATAGCTGTATAAAATCCATATTGAACTCGATTATATGGCAGTGTGGACTCAGATAACCGAGTTCAAGCAGATATTTGGATGATCTGCCTTGGTATTCTAGGTTATATGGCTGTGTGGAAGGGCCCTCAATACTGTGAAATCAGTAGTTAAGTGATGCAAATGCCTGATTTGTTAAAAAAAAAAACTCCTAACACATCACAGTAACAAAGACAGGGGTAGTAGGAATGTGTTGAATAGAGGGCTCGGAAGACATCTATGGAAATGAAGATGACAGCTGTTGGATAAAGATAGCAGACTTTATCCCTTCCTGTCCAAGCATTATCTGCACTGAAATTTCCATAGGCAAGAACAGACTTAGCCCTGTTCATTTAGAATTTTCAGAGTAAAACTAAAGCCATGATTTTAGCCATTGCTATGTTTGTGTCTTGCACCCCTCCTGCCATTTTTTTTGCTAATTAACATAAAGTCTAAATATATGCTAATAACAATAGGCTAGCAGGGTGCCAATGGGAGAATTTTCAGGCAAATCAGCTTTATTGGGAACTCGTAGAGGTAGGAAAAGTGAAAAATGGCATTACATTAACACAGAACTGGTTCCAGGCAAGGACCTCGGGGGCTTCTCATCCCTCATGATCTGTTTTGCACACGCTTTGAATTTATCTACATCCAAAGCACCTCAGTCAGTAGATGACCTGATCTTCTTGTCACAACAGCAACATGCTCCTGCGGCTACAGCTGTTTCTGCCTTACCTCCTGCAGCTTGCTAGGACCCCGGACCTTGCATCAGTGGTGGTCTCAGCAGTCTTGAAGTGGGTTGACACCATGTACCGTGTAGACGTCTCAGCAGCACAGTGGGTGGCGAGGCCCCCCAAGCCCAACTCTGATGTGGTTGATGTCATGCAAGGGAAATGCTCTCACAAGGCCCACTCTACACCACTGGATAAGGAGAGCAGGAAGATAGAGGTGATGGACAAGAAGGGGCACTTCAGTGGAGGTTTTGTTGCCCGCCTTATATGGCGGCATATCAAGATTTCCTCTGGGATAAGATTGCCCTCTATCTTGACCTCCTCCCTGCAGACTAACAGAATTTCACCAGAGCATTCCACCAGGAGGCTGTGGTACTAGCGAGGGCTCAGAGGATTTGGCCAAGCATATGGTGGATGCAACAGGCAAGCTGTTCACAACTGTCACAGCCATTTGTAGGCATGGATGGCTCCATGCCTCAATGTTGTTGGAGGAGGGTAAAGTCCTGGCAGACGATCTGCCTATCCAGCATAATGGCCTCATCAAACCAGACACAGACATACAATTGAAACACAAGCAGGAGATGTGCCAGGCAGCACACAAGTTGGCCTTCCCTCCCCAGTCATCCTACCAATCATGGATAAGATGATCATCATCTGTGCCGTATATGCGCAGGCCTTATACGGCAGCACAGGCCGCTACACAAGTTAAGTTGGCCACCCCCAACAGGCAACCTATGTCACCCAGAGCATGGCAGCAGCATAGGGGGTGATATCAGAGCAAGCTGAGGTGTCACTTTTAGCTCCCTTTCATGGGCACTATCCTTTCCTACATGATCCCAGTTTTCCTGGGTACTTTGGTACAAAGTTCACACACTGTGAGGAAAGGGATGGATGTACTGCTGCATCCATCCCTATTCTCACACGCTTTTTTCTCACGCTATTTTCTTGTCCCAAAAAGGGACAGTGGCCAGCAGCCAATATTGGACCTCAGGGGATCTAATCCTTACATTTGACCACCAGATTTTGGATGATAACACTTATCACCATCCTCCCCCTGCTGCCTGAGGGGGTTTGGTTCGCCACCATAGATCTCAATGATTCTTATTTTCTTATCTTTTCTATAGTGGTGTTAAAAAGTTTGTTGTAGTCTTTTATTTTACTTCTGCTTTCTGCTTTCCTCCTCTTGATAGTAGATCTTTTTGTCTCCATACTCGGGCGTACACCAGTCTCGCCGCCATAGGTGCATATATGAAAAGTTTGTCTTTTTTTATGCTCCAGTCCATATTTATCATCCCTAATAAAAAGTATTCYGGWTACATAGGGAAATTTTATTTCWATATTTTTTGGCATCGTTCARGAATTTCCTTCCAGAAACCTCTTGCTTTSTCACATGACCACCACATATGATGAYAGGTTCTTCCTGTTTCGCACACTTCCAACAGTTATGGTTATAATCTTTAGTAAATTTTGCTATTTTCTTTGGGYTCATGTACCATTAATACATCATTTTTAGCCAATTCTCTTTTAAGTCATAAACYTAGGTGTATTTCAGTTTTTTGTTCCACATTAATTRATTGAGCATTATTGTCCTTCCTATATTTCTTGCCCATTTAGTCATACAGTATTTTTTCTGTTCTTTCTCTGTACTTCAACCCAATAGTAATCTGTAAATTTTTGCAATGGTTTTCTTCTCATTAGTTAGTATTTTGTCCCAAGCAGATGTCTTTCCAGTAATACTACTTTACTGTCTTTATTGTAGTATTCTTGRCGGTACTGAAACCAAGATACATTTCTGAAGTTTTCTTTTAATTCTTCCTGGGTTCTTACTTTGAAATCTTTCCCTTCAAAAAACAAATATAWTTATTTTTAACACTTCCAGTTTGGACYTATCTGCCATGGGATTCTCTTCCTGCTCCTTGCTCCCCGCCCCCCCTTTTTTTTGGTTCTTTTGTGCCTTCATACAAAATGGGCAGATTGCAAGGGAGGGCAAGTGTCAGATAAATATATTGTCTCYTTGTACTGTTCCCAGAGGAAAGTCCTTAAATTGKATGGATTTTTGTTGGGATTGGGTAGGAACTTTTTAATCTTAGGGTGATTTTTAAWTAATATGGTCTCATAATATCAACAGGTTAGTTCTTGTAGAGGTAGGATTGGAATATATTATATCTGAAGATTATTTCAGATTTCTCGGACTCTGCTAGGTGTTTCCATGCAAACAAGAATAGTAGATAAGTGAACTCTTTGCTGAAGGTGGTGCCCAGGTGGATGCCCAGCCTTGCTATCCTTTGGATCTGGCTCCAGTGACTAGGGTTAGGGAAACCGACGTGGTTTGGGCCCAGGCTACCTACAGGATTGCCTTCTCCCATACAATCCACCCTGTTCCTCTAGGGGATGGTTTAGTCTTCTAGGGAATGGCTACTTCAGCTTGCCAGAACCCTTCTGACAACCGTCACTCAGAGGATCTTTCCATTGGCCGCCCCAATACTGTGGAACAACCTGCAGAAGTGCTCCGATAGCTAAATGAGCTGTTGGAATTTTAAATATTTCTGAAGACCTGTCTTTTTCAGCAGGCCTACCCAGTGAGTTTTAATCGTTAGTTTTAAACTTGCATTTTGTGTATCAATCTTTGTTCTGTGTATTGTAACATATATTTTATAGAAATATGTTTTAATATGTGTTTTTATAGATTGTTTACAATGATTATGCATTTTAAGCTGTGTTGTAACCCACCCTGAGCCACAAGGAGAGACGGGTAATAATTATTATATAATTTTAATAATAATTATTATTAAAATTATTGAAAAAATGGGGTGGGAGAAAAAAGCAGCCTTGGTGCCTCCTAATATTGCATTGAAGTACTAAAGATTTGTTTTTGCCCTTTTTTGTTAGCACATTTGTTTCCCCATCTAGTCAAAAAATAAGATTTTTTAAGAGTGTACTGTAATATTTATATGATCATGTCTGAGCAATAGCTGAAATAATGCCAAATGAGAATAAAAGCGTAGGTGCAGGTTAGATTTGCCACTGTATAACATACTTGTTGTTTCTTTACCTGTGTTTTTTGTTTGTTTGTTTTTTGCAGCACATTCCCACTACTTATATGGTTATACGCTGGCTCCTTTCCGGGAGTAGGCAAGAGACCAGACCATGCCTGCTCCTTGGCTCCAAAGAACAGAAGCGACAGGTGAACCAGTTCAGGCCACAGGCCAAAAGGACACCGTTCCTCCTGCTTGTACACAACCCCCTGGTTTCCTGTTTGGTGTCCTTAAACCCCAGTTATATCAGTGGCTTCCCATTTATCCCTCCCCCTTCTCTTGGCTTTAGACACACTCTTACAGAGAGAGAGAGACTGAGAGAGAGAGACTGAGAAAACAGGCTTTTCTATTCCCAAGTCTGTCTTGTGTGTAATATTATAATGTTGAGATAGGTCTGGTAAGACATGGAAGCACCTTAATGCTCGTTTGCAGCAGTCCTTGCACCATGATCTGCCTGTGCTTCATTCTACCAATATGCCTGAGAGCAGCAGTAGCCTTCTGTTCCCACAGGTAGTTCAGACCCAATAAGACAATCATCAAGGAAACAAGGCAATGAGAGCATGGGGAAATTGAACTTGTAACTCTCCCTTGGGTACAGCAGCCTTTTGCTGCTGCTTCCCATCATGCTATAGGTTACAAGGAGCTTTTTCTGCCTATGGACATTAATATTGGTCCTCAGATTAGAAAAGACCAGGGTTGGAAACAGAGTGGGGTGGTGGTCTTTGATGAAATAAGGGGAAGACATTAACTACCAAGCAGGTGTGCATGTCTTCCATGCCCCATGTCTGTTATTCAATTAAATCAGAAGCTGGGAGTACATGTGGTTTTCCTTACACATCTCTGTTGGGTGCACAGTAATTGCCCTATTTTTCTCTTGTAGACAAACAGAAAACCCCCCTTTCTTCTCTTTGCATTTACAGTAGCCTGTGATTCAAAAGATCCCTAGCTGTTACTGTTTCTCCCCTCTAAGGTAGGATCTGTTTGTCTCCTCATGCTGCCTTTTGCCTTGTGTGGCCCCCTATTACTGATGTGGTATTTCTTGGTGGCTGGAATGCCCTATACTCCTACCGTGCTGTTTGGAAGTGCAATATCAAAGAGACTGTACAGTTGCAATGTCTTTCTGGTGTACAACTTGCCTAATACAGTATTAAATATTTTTTTAATTTAAAGAAGAAGTGATCCGTTTATATCAACAACCTCTTTCTTTTGTCAAATTGGTACTGCATGGATTCCAAACCCTGCGAACAGACCAGGAATGGGTGTATGTGTGTTCCAATAAACCGGATTTTAAAACAAGGTTGATTGATGTTCATATTTTTTCTTCATTAATACATATTCTCTCTGCACAAACACAAGTCTCACAATAAGTTAGCTTTGGTTCATACATCCAAACTGTTGGGCTAGCCATGAATAGAATGCACATTCCTGAAATTYGTTGTTGGAATGGAAATTTCCTGAAGATTCAATTTTATGATTTTAGATATCCAGGGAACCCAAATGTTTGTGAAAAGAGGATAAATCCATATGGAACCCCCCCCCCCCCGGTGTTCTAATTCTTTAACATTTTCTGGTTATAATATTGAAAAGCTTACTTCACATCCTTATTTCTATGGAAAGAGCTAGCATCTGATGTAGGTAGGATATCCCAATGTTAAATTATGTCTGCATTGATGCTGTCATATTTTACTTGCTTTGTCTTGATAGAGCAAAGAAGCAGAAACACATTACAACCTTACATTGTGTGTACAGAAAATATTTCTCAGTGTGTTTTGACTGTTCCTTGGGGTGATTTTATTTCAGTATTCTCAAAAGGAGAAAAAAACCCAGTATTTTATAACATCTCAAAAAGATCTCAAACAAAAAAATCCTTTATTTTTTTTAAAAAAAATCTTACAATAAGTTAGCAAAAATACAAAAATTGCAACTCCACACAGTACAAAAGACTTCATTGGCAGCATTTTATGTGGCTTCTTTGCCTGGAAATTGCAACTGCCAAAAGAAGTTGGTCAGGCAGCATCTTTAAAAGAAAACACACACACACACACTTGCACACACACACAAATTTAAAAAGTAATAACAATTGGCCCCCAAAAGACACAAAACCTCTAAAATCAAGTAAGAAAACAGAAACCACACTGGAATCTTTCCTTGGCATGCAGAAGTGGTGTCCTTTCTCTCACCCTCCGTAAGTGTTCCCCGTAATACATTAGAATGCATTTGATGAGCTAATTCCAACCTGATCTTCAAAATACTCTGCCTTTCTGGAATCTAGGCAGATATTTCAAGATTTTCAGAGCATTACACATTTTTTCACTATCTTGCCCCTGATTTACAAAATGGGATGGGGGAGCAGAACCACTTTTTAGGCATATGGAATTGGATAAGTGGCTTTACTGAATAAAGTCTGTAACTGGCTTTGGAAATTAAAAAAAAACAAAAAAACAAGCATCCAGTGTTAGTTGGGAAGGAGAGCTTTTCCCATTCAGAACATCTTCCAGTGTTAGTAAGGAGAACAACTTCTCCTAACCATAAAGTCTAGTTATCATGTGTCTTTTAGTCTACAGTCTGCTGGTGATGATTTTATAAAGTTGGAAAAGTGGGCATCATTTTCTGCATCCTCAATTCTGAGATCTCTCCTCTTGGAACACAACAGCCACATCCTCCACAGCAATGCTGTCAACAATTGAAGACAGTGAATGAAGGTTGCGGTCTTCAGAAGAATCGTCAGTCAGCAGATGATCTGTGGAGAAAATAAGGAATGACCTTAAGCAAGCAATGTTCTCTGAGAGTCCAGTAACTGGAACAAGAGTTGGGAAGGATCTTAGCAGAAAATCAAAGTCATGAGCTGCCTTTGGCTACAAACCAGCTTAATGCTTGTATGTCTGAAATGTATCTGCCCCATAGTAAAGCACTGATGGTATTTAATAGCTAAAGGACAACTCCTCTTCTGTTTACTAATGGATTTAGCTGGCTCTAATTGTTTTTCCAAGAAGGGATTTGCTTCCAAAATTCCTATTTCCCCTGGGACATTTTCCATTTGCAAAGGTGGCAGGAATACCTAAAATACTTGATACACTCTTCTCCCAATCTATCACCATATCTGTAACTCACGTGTAAACTGCAGCTCAAAGATTTTGTACTACTGGTGCATATACACACTTTACAGTTGAGTAGATTGGGAATCTAGCATGTGGATCAAGGGACTTTAATCTTTTCCTTGCAATTCCAGTAATAGTGGGAAATTTCTGTTTCTGCCTATTTTGCACTGCAAAATATATTGCAAATATTACTATTGAATTCCATTTGTGTCGAATTTTGTAATAAACTTGAACATTTGTTTTCTAACTCTGGAGTCATTGTTTCCCCAACTTTTTTTCTTAGTTGATATGCGATCAACTTTACAACTTGAAAAATATCAGAATCATGGTTCATCTCTTACTGACATTTAAGTATGCAGTATTAGAATGCTGCAGAAATCCAATATACAGGTACATGTTAAGTGACACATTATTTGCTGGCTAGCTAGCAAGACTCTTGGAAATAAAGTCTTTATCAAAAATGCTTTGTTTGTTTAGGAGAGATCTGTCTTCCCAGAAAAGGCCTCTTAAAATGGCTTGTATTGCAATACAATTCTTGTATCCACATAGAATATGTTTCAAGACCCCCTGTATGGAGGACAGAGAAAGGGCAATGAAGGGGGCATTTTAAGGTAAGTTAAACTATGAATGTCAAATCCATGGATAAAGGGGCATATTGTACTGTATTTAAAAATAAAGGCCCAATAACACTTGGATTTTTAAAATAAATGAAGACCAAACATTCTGAAAGTTTAGTGAATAAAAGCTTTTACATGAGGTGCTGAAACAGTAGCAGAGTTTAGAAAATCACATAGTAGTCAACACACATTTTCACAGCCCAGCAGCTATGCGGGCAACTGTTCTTAAGAGGTAGAAGGGCTTTCTTTTAACAACACAGTAGTTAAAGTCAGAGTTGCAGATGGGAGGGCCTATTTGATTTATCAATTGTCAAGCAAGAATAGGCATTACTAAAAAATGAGACAAAAGATATTAATTTTCATATGCTACTTTAGGAGCACTGGTGGAGTAATGGGTTAGACCCTTGTGCCAGCAGGACTTCTGACCCAACAGGTCAGTGGTACAAATCCAGGGAGAGCGGGTTGCGCTCTGTCAGCTCCAGCTCCCCATGCGGGGAAATGAGAGAAACCTCCCACAAGGATGGTAAAACATCAAACACCTGGGCATCCCCTGGGCAACGTCTATGCAGAACGGCCAATTCTGTCACACCAAATGTGACTTGCAGTTTTTAAAGTCACTCCTGACACGAAAAAAAATGCTACTTTATAAATTTGCATTTTAAAATGCTACAATTAATGACAAAATATAGAAAACAATATTATACAAAATTACAATATTTGTCATAATGGTGGAAATAGTGGCCAAATGGCCTGTGTCTGATCAGAACGTGGATTGGAAGATCATGGCTAGTTTTCCCTTACAGTTCATTCTTTAAACCGGACTTTGTTTCATTAGAAAAACAGTGAAATCACTTCAGATAACATCTTCCAATATGGTACCGTGCATTGAAAAATGTGATGCACAGCTGCCTTAGTGGTGCAAGCTGAATACCAAACCAAACAATTACAGTTGGCCCTTTACATGGATGTACATATCATATTGTTAAAACAGTTATTGAAATGAATTGTGCATTATAAAGTATGGTAACCAAATAGAGATAAAACATTTTACTTAGAAAGAATCTTGGGGGGAGGACCTCCATTCTGAAGTACTGTTAGAACCTGAACACTTTTAATTTACATGTGCTTCAAGGAGGTGTTTACATAATTTTTATTATCAGGAAGATACCTCTTTTTTCCTTTTACAGGTAAGAGGTTGCTTTCTATGGCCAGAAGTAGCTTTCTAGAGTCCAGACCTGCTTTTACCAGCTTTGCAGTTGCTTCTAAGTACAGGTATCCCAATACTATTTGTGTTTCCCCCCGCTCTAGAACAGATCATGGTAAAATACTTCTACACATACATGCATTTTAAAGATGGAGCAGAGCAGGAGAACTTAGGATTAATAGAAGCTGGATCTACACTGCTCTATATCCCAGGATCTGATCCCAGATTATCTGCTTTGAACTGGATTATATGAGTCTAGTTAATATAGGATAAACAGATAATTTGGGATCAGATCCTGGGATATAGAGCAGTGTAGATCCTGCCAGAATGGTCCTTACCTCTAAAGAGCAAAAAGGGTTAGACCTTTGTGTTCCCAGAGGACAATATGGTCTTACCTCCTGGATGAGTGTTGAACTCCAACTGGGTGCTCCATTCTGGACTGCATGAAGTGCTGCTGGGTCCATGGTCACTACCCACCTTGAATGAGAAAATGGGAGATCTTTAGTACTGGTTTCACACTTTGACTGCATTAGATTTGGGGAAAGGTGATTCTGTTTAGACCAGAACTCTCAGCATTCCTCAACCAGCATGATCATTGCAATCTCGGCTTCACCAATTAAAGGGTCTTTCACCTTCAATGAATCCAAAACAGCAACAACAACACAGAGACAAACAATTTCAGATATGGCTGTGGTTTGCTGCTGTCTTCTGAGTCTATAAAGTGCTGCAAATGTACATTACAGGGATCTCCTGTGAAATTGAATCCAATGCCAACAGCCTAGGTGAACATGTAGTAGACAGACTGAGAAGCAGACAAAGAACAGAGAATACAGGCTGCAGCTGTTCATAACTTTTCTCTGTTCTCAAACCAGGCTGGATGAACATTCCCAAGCTTGTTTTGGGCAGTATATGAACATTCAGCCTACAAAATGTGAGGACTTATTTCAGAGTAAGATATTTGGAAAGAAAATGGGAAAGCCATACTATTCTTTAAAACTAAACACAACCCAAATCAAATTTATCCTACTGATAGGAGGTGAGAGGTTTTCTACCTGCTCCAAGAGACTCGGAGGGCAAGCTTACAACATGAGATAGCAACGGCTAGTCAAAATGTCTACTGCCACTAGAGCCCTTTCACAATACATACTGTTCCACAATGGTCTTACTCATTTTGTTCAGCAATTATAAGAGAGTAGAAATCCGAAAGGATGCTTTGAAAGGAGGAGCTGTAAACATATTGGAGAGCCTTATAGGAGAAGCCCAGAATTGAATCTTGTAGTATTTTGTCCCTTAGGACTGAAGGCTTGTACCCAAATGCTCTTGTAAATCTTTAAATGGAGATACCCAGTAACCCATTTGAACTCAACAGGTGTCCAG